AAGAAGAGTGTAAAAGACAGTGGCCAGCTCTAAAGGATGCCATTAAGGGCGCAGATGTTGTGTTGACATTGTTGACTGGTGCATTTTCTTGCAAACTGGAGAGAACTTTATTGGGTTTGGTTGTAATTGATGAAGCTGCTTAGACACTTAAAATAGCATGCTGGATAGCTCTACTAAAGGTAATGATGTGCTAAAAATACATGTAAAGCTCTTCCCCTGATAAAGTGATGTTAGTTGCACCTGCCATGCTTATTCATGTTTTGAAGGTCAAGATGTATCCTTGCAGGAGACCATCTTCAGCTTCCCTGAGAGGAAAGGGTTGGGAAGAACCTGTATGGAGATGAAATCAGGTCTATGATCATTGTAATCAAATTTATTATAAGCATTTACTTAGCTAAGCTTATATGAAAACAATAATCCAAATTAATTTGTCTGTACAGCTCACATATTGTAGGATGGAGGATGCTCTGTACAATCAAGGGTGTGCTGCCGATCTAGTTGCTATTATGTTTGGAGAAAGACCGTCCATGTTCACCGGCTTCTTTAACTCCTTTCTTGATTCCTCTTAGGTGTGTAATTATTTAGCATGGCTTTGGTGTAAATAACTACCTACACTATTTGTCTTTGTTGAGAAATGGATGGGAATCTAGTTATGTTGCTTGGTGAAGTGCTAAAACTAACTATTGAGGTCTTCTAATTGTGCCTATGGTAGCACGAATGAACATTTCTTTTCTTTTCTGACAGTTTGGTGTACTCAAGTATTAGAATAAATTCACATCCTACCTCAACAAGAATCATCTCAAATGTCAAAAGAGACAACACTAATAAGTTGATTGATTTACTTCTGGAGTAGGGAGGTCCCTAAGTTATTCAAGGGAATTTTGCTCTATATAAGTTTATTTTGTAAATTTGTATAAGGGGTGATGTTTGTGTTTTAAATATTGGGGTTGACATTGTGATATACAATAGCTATTGCAAGTTGTCCCGAGAAGTAACAGATCTAGAATTGGACTGGATGTTGGGAGATGTTAGTGAAATTTGATTATGAATTGTTGTTTGAAGTCATTTGTAAGGATCTCATTTTATTTTTCGAAATCAACTGCCGATGTTTCTTATGTAAAATTTAATAGCTGTCTGATCAAAGAATCCACAATGGAAAGGATTGAGGTGTTCAGTTTTAACGTTTAAAGTATACAGCAGCAAAGGAGAAAGTAGGAATGGCGGTGGAGGTAGAGAAGAAGTCGAAGAGGAAATCATCTGCTATCACGCTGCAGCACTTCATCTCAACCATGACTCCTTCACTCAATTTGGACGGACAAGGTTCTTTCTTCCAATCTCTTCTATTTTTCTGACTCAATCGCACTAGTGATTGCTTATTCTTTGCCTGTTGTCGCTCTGCAACAGTTTTGCTATGGTGGAGGCCAAATTGGTGTTTTGATAGCCATCTTTTGTGTTTATTGATAACTTATCTCTTTAAAGACTTAGAAATAGGAGTACTTGTTAGTGGAGTGAATAGAGAATCTGATTGTTGGGGGTTTTGGAACAAAGGGATATGGAAGACTAGAATGTCTTTTTCAGATGCACACTAAGTATTCGATCAATTGCCTGAATGGATTTTCAGTTGTCTTGGCAACTGGAATAGATTTATGCTGCATTAATATACAAGGGTTCCAATAAAATTCCCCTTTTGCTGGTCAAGAAAATTATTAGGTATTGATAGGTCACAGGTTGCAACAACGTAAGCTTAAAGGATATTTCTGCTATTAAGGATGATGGAATGTTTGATTGGATCCCGAAGGAGAAAGAGGAGTCAGCAAGGTCATTCCTCCGAAATTAAAACCTTTTGAAATTGGATGACTTGCCCGCACTGAAAAGCATTTGTAATGTGACGATAATACTATTAAGCATGTGATTCCCTTGAAGGTATTAGGAATGTTGGTTGCCAGGGCCTAAGGATGATCCCTCTTTATCTACCCTTGCTTAATGTCGGCCAACCATTGACTCCCCCATTCAAAAGAGTTCATGGCATTTGCATCCAAAAGAATGGTAGGAATTGTTAATTAGTAATGTCATACGGTAAATTGTGAATTATTATTCTAAGTCAATTAATTTTTTTTATAGAAAATAAATGTTTTTATTAAAAAATAAAAGGAAATTACATTAAAAATATTTAAAATCTTTATATATCATGAGACTATAAAATTGAAGCATAACTTATTATACTAGTTATAAATATAGTTGCATATTTATATTATATTCATGACAAATCTAGACCTTTAAGTATAAAAGGTCTATTATAAGAAAATTGATTAGTGAGACAATTTGTTTCCTTGTTTTTTTCTTTTTTTCTTTTTTTTTGTTTTTATCAAAATTGCTATAGTTATAGTGCCACCTAATTTTTTTTTATTGATATAATACTACATAATATTATAAGTTGACATCATAATGTATTATTATTTAATTAATATTTTTATTCAAAAATCTGATCATAATATTATATATATTTACCTATTTAATATCATATCATAATTATTTAATATTATATTATAATTATAAATTTATTTATTTTTAATAATATGTATAACTATAATATTATTAATTTTTTATTAAATTAGATCTATCTCTCCTGCTATAGTTGAGAGAGATTTGTACATTCTACACACTGCATCAAGACAATCCACGAAAACGAAAGAAATTAAGAAAAAGAAGACTAACTTCAAGCAATTGCTACAAAAAAGAACTCTGTTTGAAAAGAGAATTACCCCCTCGCTGGGTGTTGGATCTGTGGAAAAACTAGGGTACGGACCTTAAGTCTGTTTTGAAAATCGATTTGGAGGTAAAATCGTTTTGACTTTTAGTTTTTGGTTCGATCAGTTTAATCAGTTTAATTATTCAAAGCACCGGATCAATTAAACAATAAATATATATTATGCAACAACCTCACAAATCATGTGTAGTGGTTCTTTTGGTTTGTTACTTTTTCCCATGATGCAGAAGACCCAGGTTCGAATCTTGGCTGTGTTAAAATGCAATTATCATGTATTTTACGTCTAACTTATAATGTATTAATTGATTTTTACACATGTAAAATATACAATAAATTTAATTTTTAAATTAATTTATATAAAAAATTATAAA